TAAAAATGCAGTGATTATTCTAGCTTAATCAGCTGCACTGTTATCAAAAGGTCTTAATATTCTCAAACTTAATTTTTAATCTTTCCCTCCTGTACTGATACAAATTCACCCTCTCTTTTCCGGCTATGCAGGTAATACACCAACACAACTTTGCTTGTGCTGTCTCCGTGAAGTATTTTTAACATATCACATGGTTGTTTCTGCTTCAAGACCGTCTTCAATCTGAAACACACAGGGGGTTTTGCACCAGAAGTGTGAGTATTCTGATGTTACCTTCTAACACAGAATTCCTAACTGATGTTTTAACATGTGAACTGCCAAAGTAACATACCTATACTTTGAACTACAGCCAGCCTTGCTGAAACAGTACTAGCCACAGATTTGTAGCCATTTATTCTATTTGTTAAATTAACAAATCTGAACTGTCTGCAAAAGGCTTTCTCCTGACTGTGGATAGTGCTTGCAATATCGAGATGTTTATGGAAAATCCTGCTCAGTGGCAAATCCTGATTAGGAAACGTTATCATTTTTTTGCATAGTAGGTGAGATAGACATGCCTAACATATGGTTGCTATAAAATACCTTAGATGAGTCAGATCTTAGCTGGCAGCTGTAAGCACTGTTGTTCTGGCTTCTTAGATAATACCTACAAATTACGATCTTTTTTGTTACTTAACTACTGTACTGTTAAACTATATTAACGTGATTTGTAGACACTCCCATTTGAGTAGAACAAAAAGGCAAGATTTATGATGTAAATCCTGATCTAAGTGTTTGCAGCTTATTAAAGCTGTATCCAAAGTCCTTCAAACTCTCTGTAGTGGTAACTAATTCTAACCAAATTGTAGGACTCTCCAGGAAGCTGCTGTTGTCCCACTGTGTGTTCACTTCAGTTACCCCATGAATTTAAGACACTAAAAAGTGCCAGGAATGGCACTGATTTGATGTGGCTTGCAATGATGCAGGACGTACCAGGATGCAGGACGTACCAGTCAGTAGCCCCACTGGCTTTGTTCTCTGATCTTTGCATGCAGCTCCTGCAGGTAATCACAGTGAAGACTTTGCCTTTAAAGTATAGGCTACATTAAACTATGGTGGCAGTGTCAGTGGCTCACAGATCTCACAAACACTGGTCAGAAAGCGGGTGGCCTTTGTTCCAGGTCTTTCCAGCACTGCCACTATGGTTAATGCTGCCCCATGTCATGCTGTACTGAGGATACTATTTTGAGGAGTGCCCAAAAATGCATCTCACCATATTGCCCATTTTCCAGGGCAAGAACAGTTTGAAAAGGCTTGAGCTTGTTTCTCACCTTTCTTCTTGCTAATTATTACTCTCTTTGGCTAGTCTTGTCTATGTTTTCAGAACTCCAGGTTGCCTTGCTCCTTGCTCTACAGCTACAAGAAACCAATGGGGAATGAATAACATTTATCACACATGTCCAGATCAGCCACTGAGGCAATGTATCCTTTCGCTTGCTTTTTGAAACCAGAGTGCTCACATGAGAACTACTTGAAGACATAGGTTTCCAGCTCTCTCCCCCGACCTCACCAAATCCTGTTCAGTACCACAAATACCACAGTTCAAATTCTATGGTGTCTTTCAGGCAGCTTGTCTCCCAAAGCACTGTGTGCAGTCTGTGCAGAGAAGTGGTTCTAAGATGAAGTCACAAAAAGAAAGCTCACAAGTCTCTAGCAATATTACTTTCTGGCTTTGCTAATGGAAGGCACACCCACTTCCTCTGACTCTAATCAGAGGACGACTGGCTGTCAGGTGGTAGAGATACACAGTTAAGAAACAGGTCTTTATAGGCACCTAGCCCTGCCTTTATATACCATCTGCTGCTTATGGAAACTTAAGACTTGCTAAAGAGAGGCTGATTCTGTGTTTTCAATATTTAATGCTCATTGGAAATGACAGTTCAGCATTACCTGCTATTCCAGTGAGAGCAAGCTAAACCCCACCCACAGCACTGGGTGTTCATAACCAATTGCAGAAATAAACAGTAAGTATGGAAAGCTCAGAGGCAGAACCAGAGTGTAACCTCCTGGATGTACTTTCAACACCCTGGCATTATTTTTTTTCCTGAAGACTGCCATTCACTTTAATTCTTTTGGTTTTAACTCTTACAGGTTAAGAAAAAATTCTGTAAAGTAGTAGCCATCAAAATAACTGAACAGTAGGATCAGATTGCTTAGAAACTTCCCACTCTGGAGGGGCAGGTCTCCATTCAGTTTTGTGCCACACTTTATTACTAAATTGCTCCAGGGAGAGCCAGTCTACTATGGTCAAAGTTCTCATCTGAGTTTTCTGCTTGCTTTCTGCCCTCAGGGAACCAGGACAGAGGCACTAACACTGCCCACTTCATACAACTGCACTAAGGTATGACTTGAAGAACCTGAATGTAGAGCAGCAATTCTCTCTGAATTAAATGGAGACAAGCAGGTAGCTAAGATTGGATGCCTAGATTTAGAAGGTGTAAATACTGCTTTCCTCTTCATTCTGATGACACATCCTTTTCTCTTCAGCAGTTTAAAAATCAGCTAAGACAATGTCCAGCTGAGCCATTCATTCATCCCCTCTTGCATTTTGTAGAGTTCAGATTCTCTCAAACTAGGGAGAGAAAGGTGGGACATGCAGGTTCAACACCAAGATTCATAGTACTGTTTTTTACCCCCAAAACTACAACAGATGACTCACTTTTAAAATACTCACTGGGACTGAAGGGGAAATACAGGTGAATCTTCTATGTATTGTGTGGACACAGCCTTTGAGGCCCCAGATGTATCTCATCTCACATATCTGTTATTTTTTGGTGCTTTGTACAAGCAGTTTAGACTGATAGTAGAAAGATCCTTTTGAGATGAGACTATGGCCTTTCTCCTGCTCAACAGTAACAAGTACATGTATACTTTCTGCATTTATTCACATGTGTTTTACTTGTGTCTAAGGGAGACGAAATCATTAAAGGTGAGTGAAGAACATCCCTTCAGGGCTTCTCCAGCATATTATAGAAATCTTTCTTCTTCGTGGAAGGAAAAAGGTTATTTGGTTCTCTTAGGGCAAGGAAAAGAATGAACGAGCTTACTACACAGTAGCCAAGGAGGAGATGCAAAAATCCTGGAAGTTCACTTTTCTGAGCTGCTAAGGCAGACAGTAAAAGCAGCTACAGTGAACCCTCATAAAGAGGTCTTTGGGCCTGTGACCTATTCACTCATTAAAAGATCATATATTTTCTACACAGTGAGTGCTGAAAACCAAGCCTAAAAATAACAAAAAAATCACACCACTAAACTGACAGGAAGTGTAAAAACTTTACAAATGAGAGACATTGAACCTGATGAAATACAGTCATATTCCCAGTATGATGTACATTTGTAATGTCTTCTAGGTGTACTCAGTACAGCAGCATTGTCATGGGGTAGTTGTAACCTTTATGCCCTGAGGTAAACGTACATGGAACAGAACAATGGCTTGCTCAGAATTTACAGTGAAGTACTAGCTAAAAAAACCAAACCAACAAAAAACTTCCAAAGTCAGAAGCAGATAGATATAAATACAAGGTTTATGTTTTTCTCAGAGTATCATACCTATTACTCAGTCTTCTATAAGCTTATCTTTTGGTGAGGTCATGTCCCTTCTTTGCATATGTATCAAGTAAAAAGTTTTCCATCATGGTACAAACCGAATGTACCTTTTATCCAGATTACATCATGCATTCTTATGAATTTGACATGAAACATGCTCTGATCACAATGGGTATTTTTTTCCTATTGCATACTTAGAAAAATTCATAGCTTTAACTCTGCATTAAAGGTTTTCCTCATCGTACATAGTTACTTTTACAACTTAATGCTGAACATAACTTCCCATTACAAGGTAAGTCAGGGAAAGTCAAGCATCACCTAAATAAACTCTACCGCACAATGAAGCTTCCAGGGAAAAGCTGCACAGGCTTGTGTTTGTTGGGGGCAATCAACATATTTATCCTGATTATCATGAAGGAACTACACAGCAATAAAATAATTAAGTGCAGAGTTCCCTTTTGGTGTCCCATTACAGAAACAAAACAAAAGAATAAACTCTGTTTTTTAAATGGAGTTGCTATGTAACAGCCCTGGTAAGTCTTGCTTCAGCCTCAACCAGTGCTGGCATTTGCTGCAGACTCAACACTGGCTGTTACAACTTCCTTGTCAAGTCTCTCAAAGGACAGTGTCCTATGAACTGAGAACTATGCAACAAACCACATTATGGAATCATTAAGAATTACTAGAGCATTAGTTTTAAAGTGCATTTTATAATCAGTTAGTGACAGTAGCAAGTCTAAACACAATCAGTCTGAACAACACAACTCTTCTAAATTAAATGACTACTGAAAGCCAAAAAATGAAGTTTTTAGTTAGTAAAATATGTTTTTAAAGTCCAGATTAGTAAAAATTAAGGCTGTTTAAAAATAACTTTTACACAGGTTCAAAGACCACCCCTTTCTTAGAAGTAGCAAGATAAACTGGCTCTAGATCAGACATCTTTATGTACTGTCAGCATCATTCTTAAAGATTACTGCTCCATGCATTGGGTCAACTAGAAAAATATCAACAGCAGTTTCTTAACACTCCAGGCTACTATGTACGGAGTTTTCCTCCCCGTCTCTTTTCCCAATTCCTGTAGACAAATTTTGGCTGAAAATTTCCAAAGCAAGAAAAAAACCAAACCAATCCAAATTCCTTTCTACTGCTTCTAAACAGTTTTCAGATGATCCATATTTTTAGTTGTCTTCATGCATACCTCAAACAACTGCTGTTACAACTAGCTTCTCCACAAGACTAAAAAATTCTTATTCACAGGACCAAAATGAGAAAGCAGTAGTGCAAGAGGTACAATTAATACTAAATTTAATTTTTCATTTAAAAAAAATGTTCCAACAATTGAAGATGTTCTTTTCTTCTCTGTGCCACTATTTCAGATAGTAGGAGATGTTAAGATGATCACTTTATTCTGTGGGGAACAAAGGAACGAGATCAGCAACGTTAATACACTAATTGCTTAAATACTATAAATGCTGTATTCATTGAATCAGTTGAATATAATCAGCATAAAGAGGTATTTTCTCTTAAATTTTTCAGCCTACCCAGAATGCAAACTGTAATCTCAGTGTTATGCAAACAATATATGGCTTTTAGCTCAGTTCTGTATCAGAAAGACTGAACACAACAATTTCATTTTAATAATAAAAAGCCCTACTGACACTTAGCCACTGTAGCCACACAGAAATTTTTTTATAAATTGTAGTAGAACTTAAGTAAAATTTCCTCCCAAAATTGCAGTAAACCAACTATATAGTCTCAAAAGATTGAAGTGATAAGTAAGCAGCTGGCATTTACTGTAAGTGACAAAATGATGACACTAATTTCCATACCATATGTATTTCTTTACTTTAAAATGTACTTACACATTTTCTACCCTGGCTGATATGATCTGTAGTTACTGTGCATACTTACAAAATGCTGAAAATTAAAACAGTTAGTTATCTGGCTTAGTTTTATGGCATGCAAATTAGCTTAAAATCGACTGACCATTCAAGCGGGCAGTCTTTTTTAAATATTCTTGTTAAACTTTCCAGATCTTCATTTTTGAAATGCAGTTCTTCCAGCAATGTAGTCAGGAACTGTGTGTGTATTGGGCTCATCTGAGTATTCTTGAAAAGTGGAGTAAATTGTGACAATCTGGCAAAAAAACCAAACCCAAACATATTTGATACAGAAAAGCAAATTTTCAACGTCAGATATAAAAAAGCAAAGCTTGTGAGTTCCAACAACTGTATTGAAGAAAGGCAGTTTATAACATCACACTTGATTCATTACAGTACATAAGACTGTATTACATACAATATGACCTGTACCAAAATACAAATTTTTATTAATGTAGTGAAACTTAATAATCTAATTAGAAAAAATAGGCTCATAGTTTGTATGCCTCTTATCAGTTGTATATTGATATTATATAATACAAACAAAATTCAGAACAAAGTGCAAAATGTTATATAATTACACATAAAAAAAGGAAGACAGCAGTCATTATTTTCTTCTTTACCAAAAAGCTCCTAAACATTCATACTGTAAAAGCTGTATAGTTCTTTGTATGAGTAAAATATGAAAGAGCTATAAAATTTTATCTTAAAAGTAACCAAGAATATTTTAACTACAAATTATTAACAGGGCTCCCTGACAGAAGTGGTACTTAATTGGTCAGTCACATTCTGTCAAACTTCATAAAGACATTCAAAAGGGTCACTTACTTGGATGATTCTCCCGTTCTGTATGCCATAAACACACAGTATGTCAAAATAGCAGACACATCTTGCTTTAAGCTGAGTTTTCTCCAAACACCTAGAAGCCTTTTGCATTACTATAACTATTACTTTCACTTGATGTACATGGGCACATGAAACATCAATTAAATTTTCAAACTGAGGAGCAATTTGAGGGAGTAATCACAGCAATTTGATTTCTTAGGTTTGACAGTCTGTACCGTAAAACAGTCTAAATTATACTTCTTATACACTGAACTTTAAAATAAAATAGGCTTTAAGAAAGCCAGACAAAACTAGAACAGAGCTAATTTAATCTTGCAAAGTTCTTAAAAGGGATACTAAGCTTCAGCTTTAAAGCTGACGCTATAGTGAAACTATTTTCTGTTTTGGTAACAAAATTAAGTGCTTGAAGTCTCAAAGTACATGCAGTCTTAGAGTGCTTCAGAAAAATAAAATAATCAAAACGGGGAGTGAGAGGGAGGAAATTATATTTCTCAATTCAGTTCATGAAGTTTAGCTTTAAAATTTAAACCATACTTGGCCTTTCAAAATTTGCTATTTAGCAACATTTTACAGACAATCTTCTATTTGGGCCTGGTTTTCTGAACTGCTGAGTAGATGGAGTTCATACAGTTTCCACTGATTTTAAAAATTACAATGAATGGAAGCTGAAAGTAGTTGCCATCTAGGAGAATAAAGTATATACATGAGAACAGACAATGGAAATAAATAGGGCACGTCCCCAGAGAGAGTGCTATTCATCATCTGAAATCATGGAAACTGCAAGGCACATGTTACTGTATATTGCATTTAGTTCCAGAATCAACAAGAACAGCGACAGAAAGCATAATCTTGAAAGAATCCAAACCCAAACAAGCGTAGTGCTGCTACTAACACGCGTTTCTCAGTTTGGAAGGAGCTATCGCCATGCAGATCATCTACATATGTAATATCTGTATGGAGATAAGGTGAAACGTACAGCTGTCAGTTTTCATTTGTGCTTTAATTTTATCTGAAAGTCCTTTCTTTTTCTCATATTTCTATTGCAAAATATTGCAAAGGTAGTAATAGCTGAATAGAATACTTGGGATCATATCCCAGAAACAGTTATTTCATCTTGGATACTGTATTTAGAGAAACAGTGCCACTGACACCATATAGGAAAGAGTTATTTTAGAATATGTTTGTTATTTTAGCATATGTACTTTCACTAAGAAACTCAAGTCTACAGCTTCCTAAAAACTTCCCAGCTCAGAAAGCCTTTAAGTGAGTAACAACTGAGATCAATCTCCCTGCAGTCACTGGTATTAAGACCATCTCCACTTCAAGAAAGCTGCATATAAAAGAAAATTCTTCTAAATTAAGCAAAAATGGTGATACAACACAAAGGATCTTACAAGACATAGTAAATAGAGTCCTTTAATATAAAAATAAATTTACAAAGCATTTTTATTATTAAATACATTTTTAATGAGTTAAATGGAAAACAATTTCTTTTTGGATTCCATTTCAGTATGCGCATTTAGCTAAATATTTCAACAATCAAACACTGACACTTGGTGAGAAAGACTTTAAGAGATGCTCAAAGTTAGGACATGGTGTGGAAACAGATTTATGCACAAACTCTGCTACATAAACCCTCCCACAAAAAGAGTATTCATAGTTGGATTTGTGATTTTTTGGACTGAGGCCACTAGGTTTTGTAATGTACATCATGACAGACAGGACTGAGTTGTTTCTTAGAGAAGTGTAGCAGTTACTATTTAAACTGGTAAAACAGAGTGCCTCTGCCCAGGGTTGGCAATCTGGAGGCTGATTTTTGCATTATCATGTTTTATTAGCAGGGAGGCAGAGGAAGTGCTGATAGAGGATCAGAGTGACCATTTCAGGGTGTTAGTCTGGAGACAAGGATAGTGGAAGAAAGACCTGGAGATGCGTTATTACTAGTCTTCAGTTTACCCTTCTCAGGATTATGTAGGTTATATATGAACAGAGACTGGTGGCACAAACAGTCATGACTTCCTGAGTGCTGGTGCCAGGTGGCTGTAACACTGCAAAACACTCTCTTGGCAATGTTGTAGATTTACATGCATTTTCACCTGAATTTTCTTCCTCCTGCCTTGGGCTTAAAAGCACATCAATAAGGACATTCTTTTTCAAAAAGAGCAGAAAACTTGTGTAGTGTTAAGTAATATTCTAAAATCTTTATACCTTAAAGCTCACATGCTAAGCAGTCTTTTTTTTTTTTTTTTTGAACTGCAGTTTGTAATATTACATAGTTTCATGAACTACAAACATGTCCTAACTATCAGCCCCTGTTTAAGACATTCTGTTTAAAGGGTAGTTATTACAGCTCATACTAAGAAAGAAAAAGGTATTGCTATTGTCATAGAAACTGCCGAGTTAAATATTGAGAAACAAAGTTTAAAAAAAAAGACCCAATGTTTTAGCTGTAGGTTAAACTTTTTCCTTACCTGAACTTTTAAAAAACTAGTTAAGCTACTAATTATTTGATAAGAAGGAGACTAAATCAAAAAGTAATTTCTAAGTTTCTAGCAATTAGTTAAAAATTGCATCTAGATGGGACATGTTAAACGTTTATGAATACATGTACAAACACTTTAATCTTGGAAATCTGTCCTTTTGGCATTTAAAGATGCTTTAACTAGTCATTTGAAAAGCAGTAGTTGTTATCAAGTACTTTTCTACTTTTAAGCGGTTGTTGGAACAGAAGCAGAAGCTTTTGTCTTCAAAAGGAGCGAGCACAAGTTGCTGTTTTCACTAGAATGGTAAGTTCTATGCTCTAAGTATCAATGTATATTTATTTGAGATACTGCACAACAGAGCACTAAGAGCTGTGCTCTCATCTTTGTATGAAATGCTAACTGAATTAAACCATAACTGTATGCAAATAAGCCCAAACTGTATTTGGAATCAATATCTTCAAGTCACTGAAAGCTGAAGAAACTATCATGACTAATACAATTTAATGATATATAGGATTTTGGTTCAAGGATCATGGAATTGCCTCAAAACTCTGTAGCATCTTCAAAAGATGCAGAATATAAACAGGAAATAGTATACTTTGGACCACAATAATAACAACTCACTACTGCAACAACCCAAAAAATATAAATTCTGATTTTCTGTTACTTCTTTCACATGTTGCAACATTTATGTGGAACAAAGTTTAATGAATAAAATAAAAAAAAAATAAGAAAAGCTAAAGGATTAAGTGATTTTAGAGCAATCACCTACAGAAACACACAAACGTAAATGTTACTGTCCAAAGTTATACACCCATGCTTCAAAGGCTTGCCTTCAGCACACCCGTTAAAAGGAAGTGTTCACGCTCAGTTCATGGAAAAGTAGTACAGTATATATCAGACTTCATGTAACAGTGCCGTTTCCTGCACACCCACTTACACCATATGGTAAACAGGTCTTTGTAAAGTTTAAAAAGTGTTAAAAATGTCAAACTATATCTGATTGATAAAATTTGTATTTGCTGGCTATTCGACATATGTTACATATTCAAGAAAAAAAAAAAAAAAGAAAGTGGAATTCATGGGAAGACCAAGCTATTATTATCAAGCTATTAAATGGCATCTGGCTATTGCAGAATGTTTACATAGTTTCAGTGCTTCAACTCAAGACTCAAACTTTCTATGAATTAGTTGCCTTACAAAAAATGTTTGACAAGTATATTTAGGAGTTTCACCTAAAATAAAATATTTTTAGAAGTCACTCACATTATATGAGGTAAATTTCATTAATTGATATGGTAGTGTGCACAAGTCATTCTTAGATCTATGCATACCTTAAACAAGATAGCTGAATACATTCAGAAAAGATTAGGGGGGGGGGCTATATTTTTATGTAGGTAAAAGAGCTAATTGGCAATTCCTATCTTAAAGTGTGAATAGCCTTTCCAAAAACATCCCTAACTGTACAGTACCATCCTCCCCTCAGATTATGGACCTCAAGAAAACCTTTCTGGAAGTTTTGTTTAAGATGTATTCTGTGATCCCTTCTGAAAAAAGTTAAATTTTCAAAGGTGTCACTCTATCAGTTAGTTACAGCTCTCTGAAATAGATGCCTGAAAACAGGGGTAAAAACACAACCACCTAGGAGTTGAGTTCATTTCCATTCCCCAAAATCGGTCACTTAAAAAGTACACAGCAAGTGTTGAGAATTTGAGTGTATATATTTACCTGATATCACACAAAACCCTTGTATACTCATGAAGAAATGCCATATGCTTATTCTCAAAAGAATAATAATAATAAGCTCCTCCTAGAAAAAGATAAGTAATGGCAGTCTTCCTAACTTTTTCTAATGGCAGAAACTTAAAAAAATAAAAGCCACTGATTGTGGCAGAAGCCATGGATCTGAACACGATTATTTCAGTCC